CCAAAATTGTATAACATTCCTATAATTCTGATATATCTTAGTACATTACCAGTAATGATTATTATGTTAAACTGTTATATCCACAGAAATAACCAAATTTTCCTGTTAATTGTCTTTGACCAAGGCTGTCCTAAGACTTTTGTCATCCACCAATATTGTTTTACTTTGATCCTTTTCAAAGGTGATTTATACTCAGCTATTGGGCTCTGACAGGTGCTCTTCAAAACAGGTCTCTGCTAACTTTAGAGACTGTATGATTGGACTAGAGAGAGAAAAAAAGAGGCGCTTCCAGGACTCTTACTAGAGAGCTGATGTGTTGACAAGGATTATTGACCCAATATAGAGCAGAACAGTGATTAATTGCATGGATTGAACTAATAGAAGATGGATATACTTTTATTTGAAGTATTGATGATTCTTTTGTTTTTCAGAGTCAAGATAACTTTTTCTTTTGAGCTATTTGCAGTTTTTGAACAACTGAATACAGCATGCTTTTGTGAACAAAATTTGAAGCATGTTTCTTTTTCTCTCCCTTGATTTTCCAGAATTTTGAAACTGTGAGTATTGATTTATGACAATATTGTTATTTGGATAACTTCAATAAGAATTGCTTTTCTTTTGTAAATAAGATATGATTGGAGACATTGGTTATTTTACCAAGACTTTGGCTGGAATGACATCTTCAGGTATGAGCAGACTGCTTTGAAGAACTGAGAGTCAGAAGTATAAAGAGCCAATAAAAGCCCCTTGGAAAGGTTGGCCTTGTACCTTGTCAGTTTCTTTACAGGGCTCCTAACCTGTGGTAAAAGTTTGCTCTCTGACAGGTCCAGGACCCCAAGTTATTTTGGGACCTCAAAGAGAGAAATTCATCCAATTCATACAAGCATCTGCAGGCTCAAATCGTTGGCTGGGTTCAAGAGGCCTTAGAAGATCTAATCGAGGCCAGGTATGGTGACTCATGCCTGATAATCCCAGCACTTTGGGAGGCTGAGGTGAGAGGATTGCCTGAGCCCAGCCTGGGCAACTTGCTGAGACCTCATCTCTACAATAAGAAAAAAAAATTAGCTGGGCATGGTGGTGTGCGCCTGTAGTTCCAGCTACTTGGAAGGCTGAGGTGGAAGATCACCTGAGCCTAGCAGGTTGAGGATGCAGTGGCCATGAGCGTGCCACTACACTCCACCTTAGGTGACAGAGTGAGACTCCAACTCAAAAAAAAAAAATCGAATCTGAGATTCCATACAGAAACAGTTCCAACAAAGTCAGTTTAAAAAGTGCCTATATGGCAAGTAATTATTCTTGCTATACTTTATGCAAATAATCAAGCTATATATAAGACTAAAACGGCCAGGCTTGGTGGCTTAGCCTGTAATCCCAGCGCTTTGGGAGGCCGAGGTGAGTGGATTGCCTCATCCCGCGGGCTTGAGACCTGCCTGGACAACTTGGCGAGACCTCATCTCTACAATAAATAAAAAAATTAGCCGGGCATGGTAGCGCATCCCTGTAGTTCCAGCTACTTGAGGCGGAAGGATTGCCAGAGCCCAGCAGTTCGAGGCTGCAGTGGCTGCTCCCGGCCACTGCACTCCAGTCTGGGTGACAGAGTGAGACTCCAATTAAAAAAAAAAAACAACAAAAAAACACTAAAACTAATTTTGTGAATAAATTGGTCTTACTATGATTTGTTGAGAGAGAAAATTATGCTTCAAAAGAAACTACAGTACCCTTGTTATTAGATTTTCTTGTTCACCATTTTTGAGTATTTGTTATTTTCTATAATTTGGACTGAATACTAAATTCTTTCCTGGCTTAAGTTCATATAGTCCACACTTCCTACAAATGAGCCTATTGATGAATGCACCCTTGGGAGCACTACCTATGTGCCCCCTGAGTTTACTTTGTTTATGGCATGGGGTCAAACCCTCCTTTACAAAGATGGGCCCATCACTGTCTGAGCAGCTAACACAGAAGGCCCTTGTTTATTAGGACACTCTGTGACTCCTTTCTCTACCCGTTCAAATCATGAAATGCTTTGGTCCTTTCCCCATAGATTAAGGAGAGAGCTACCAGGAGGATGCCAGGACACCTGTTCAGAATCTTCTAGGGATATTGGTCCCTGACTATGGAGTTTATGCTAACAAGGGAAGAGGGTCTGTGCAACTTAAATGTCATTTGCTGCACCTATACAGATACTTCAGCAGTTGAATCTTGAATAGACAAAAATCTCCCAATAAGTTGTAAGGCTACATCAAGTCTCTACCACAGATGCTATGCTTAACAATGTCCTAGGATACCCATGAGAAGAGCTCTGGTTTTCTGAGCTCTTCTCATGGGTATCCTAGGACATTGTTAAGTCAGGTACTAATGTCTTAGTCATGCAAACCTTGGGACTCCAGCTCAGGATTGGCGAATATATGCAGACAATTACAAAGCAGTTTCTTTCCTCTTACCCTGGGCCTAGCTCCAACTTTAACTATGTCCCCTGGCAGCAGGAAGAAGTCAGACTGGTCTTTGGTCAGTGAAAGGACATAACATGGATTTAATATACCCAGTGAGCAGCCATTTTTTTTTTTTTTTGAGTTGGAGTCCCACTCCATCACCCAGGCTCGAGTGCAGTGGTATGCTCATGGCCACCCCAGCGTTGACCTGTTGGGCTCAGGCAATCCTTCTGCCTCAGCCTTCCAAGTAGCTGGAACGACAGGCATGTGCTACCACCTGGCTTATTTTTTGATTTATTGTAGAGACGAGGTCTCACCAAGTTGTCCAGGCTGATCTCGAATCCCTCGGCGCAGGTAATCCTCTCACCTTGGCCTCCAAAAGTGCTGAGATTACGGGCTGAGCCACTGCGCCCGGCCATTTTAACACTGCCTAAATCTCATGTTTTTCTAGTGGTTTACTTAACTTGCCCTCTAATTACTAGCCAAGAACTGAATGGGTTTCTCAGAGATAGCTATTGACAATTGTTTACAACTCCCTATCCCAGCTTGTTTTGTACCAATTAGCTTTTCTATTTCAAGTATTTGCCTCCACCCATAAGACGCAAGTTAACCGAATCAGCCTTAGTGACCTTCATTACACAGACAGACCCTACCACCATGGCAGCAATCATTTGATTAACCCCCCTATCTGCCAGCTGTCCATCACCTGATGCCAGTATCTGGGCTTACAATGACAAGGAGCAAACCACCTTAATGATCACCCTCATCAAAGGAAAGGGTTAAAAGGCCTCATCCATCAGCAACCAGTCACCACTGACACGGCCATTGCCTTGCTAAGCTATGGCCAGGCCATGTTTTCTTAAGCTTTGGCCCCCTCCGCTACCTTGGGGAGGTGAATCTCCTCTCTCTCTCTCCAATTTATTTTCTAAATAAATTATATTTTCTAATCCAACTTCTGCGTAATTCTTTGTATCTTTCATGCGGCATCGGATCACACACCAGACACTCACACCCCCAACAGGCCTGACCTAACATTCTGGAGGCCCTGATGGGTGTATGTCCTCTAACACTTATCAAAGGTGGGAAGACCATAATTGAAATCAGATACTTGTAGCCCACTCTTTTTAGCATAATGATTGTGTACTTATATCAAGCCTCTTGTAAAAAGCAAAAGCATGGTCTTTCTTTCAAAAATGCCCGTGCCAGTCAGGCATGTGTATATACGTCTGTCGGTCTCATGCTCTAATAAATTCTGTTTTGAAACTATACCAGCCCCTATGAAATGCTTTTCTGTAGTGGGTCAAATAATCCACTCATTTCTGGCTAAGTATTAAGAATCACAGTAAACTGGCTTGGTGTCCTCCTGCCTTCGTATTTTGGCTTTGTATTTTTCTCTTATTTTTGGAAAGGAAAAAAAAAAAAATCTCAGAATCCCTTAAACTTCTCATGCGAAAGGTAAGGTTAAGCCTGGAGGCTGAGTCACTGCAATACCCTCTTCCAAACCAAAAGTTGTTACTAACATTATACATCAGCCAGATCTCCATGGAAAGGGAAAAGGCTTGGGAAGAATTGTCCCACAGTTCATTCATAAGCAAATTCCTTGCTGGTCTCCCATATACAAGGACATGTCAATTTAACTTTGGGTCTATAACCTAAGTCTAGCTCCTAAGATTCCACACTGACAATGGATTCCAACACAGGCAATGTCTATCTTTTCAAGTGCAGAATAAAGTCAAGAATCATTCCTCCATACCTACCCAGAAATATCTGCATGACTGACTCTTCTTTCACTCCCTTTCCTCTTATGTAGATTTACTGGGCACTACCTAAAGTCTCTCTTCACCTTACCGTCTACCTGCCCGTCGTCCTACATGTCTTCCCCGCACTTTAAGGAAATGTGTTAAGTACTAAACCTCCTGAAAACCCCTTCAGAAAAAGTCGCGGACGTGTCTGCGGCTCGTGTTTTTCCCGAAAACCGTAAATCTGGCTTGATAAACTTCGATGATTGGACACATGCCTGTCACTCATTTCGGTTGTCACTTTTTATAAAACTGCACGAATCCTGAGTCAAACAGAGAAATTCTGGCAACAATTATCTCACCCCCACGCGGGACGGGGCATCTGTGTACTCGATTAAGGAAATGAATTCCAGGCGCTGCTTTGTTTATTATCAAACAGGCCGGCGGAGCTGAGGGATTTTTCGGGAAAGAGGCAAACCTGACACCAGGCTCCGGTCCGGCCAGCTTCCAGGGGATGGGAGCCGGGGCGCGGCCCGAGATCTCGAGGCTGGGGCGCGCCCCCAGCCCGGGGACTGGTACACCGGGTCCCAGACAGGCGGCGTGGAAAGCTCTGAACCCCACTCTCTCCCCTGCGGTTTTCGAGCCTAAGGCGGTTTTCATCTGAGGGCGGCGGCGACGGCTTCCAAACCACAGCGGCACTGGGGTCCGGAGGCTTCCCGGGGGGAATGTCTGTCCTCCCGGCACCCCAACTCCTCCCGCCCCTCGCAGTCGCGGGGATTTCCGCCGCCGCCGCCCAGCGTCGCGCCCCGCCCCATTCCCTGTCTCTCACCTGCAGCTGAGGGCCACACCCACGGCGCCCCAGCGACCAGCACCAGGATCGTCGCGCCCAGGAGGTCCGGCATCGTCCGCGAGCCGCCGCGGGTCCCGCCGGTCACATCCTCGGTGACCTCCGCAGCACAGGCCACCTCCGCGCACAGGCCGCGCCTCCGAGGCACGAGCCTAGGAAATCGACAGGCCGCCCCTCCTCCGCCTCGCACCCCCTCTTTCCGGCCAGTGACTGCTCGAGCGCGCCTCCGCCCCCCATTCCCGGAAGCCCGCCTCTCGCCCGGAGGCCTTGACCCGCGCGGGCGCTCTGCGTGTTGCCAGTGCGCCTGCGCAGACCTTTTCGCCCCCGCCTTTTCTCGCCGTGGGCCGCTGGAGGGCGCCGGTGCAGCCGCGATCACGGCGGTGGGCTCGCCGTCCTCTCCCTACCCCGCCCTGGTCTCTCGCCCACCCTGCAGCCTTGGAGAGTGGTGTTGGCAGTCTCCGGTATCTTGCATCTTGTAGACCAAAGGACGCCGAAATGAGAAGACCCTGAGCGAGCAGGAACTGCTTCCCATGTGTAAAGCGCAGCGAGCGAAGGGCGGGGGTGTGCAGAGCAGGGACGCGCCCCGCGCTGGTTTTCGGGGCAGAAGGGCCCGCGGGCCCCTTGGAAGGAACGGTGACAGGTCTCTGGGCGTGACGTGGGCGGCAGAACATTGATCTCTACGCTTGTTTGATCACCGATCTTTATCAGTAAACACGTTGAGTCCACCGTTCAAATGGTTATGTAATTAAACACCTTAATAATCGATTAAAAAAAAATATATATATCAATTTTAGATTCAAGGGGTCCACATGCGTGTTCTTTATATGGACATATTGTGTAGTGCTGGGGGTTGGATCTCAGGTGACACACTCCCCAGAGTAAACATTGTGCCCTGTACCTAGTTTTTGAAACCTGACTCCCCTCCCCCCTTATTGGTGTCCCCAGTGTCTGTTATTTCCATCCTTGTGACCCTTTAGTCCCCACATATGAGTGAGAACATGCGGCGTTTGCTTTTCTATTTCTGAGTCAGTTCATTTAGGACGATGTTCTCCAGCTCCATCCATGTTGCTGCAAAGATCATGATTTCATTCTTTTTTTTATGGCTATAATAATAAATTATGCACATTATGAAAACACGCAAAAGAAAATGTACAGGATGAGAGATGAAATAAGCAATCAAATACTTAGTTGTTAATTATAACAGCTAAACTATTTAGCAATTGTAGGTAAAATGAATATTTGTAAAGAACAACGCAATGGGGTATGTATATTTACATAGCATGAAATTCACCTGTTTTGAGTGAACAATGATTTTTAGTAAATCTGTCCAGTTTTTAGATCTCGATTTTAAAACTTGGAGTTATTGCTTTATGATTCTGTGATTTGGGTGTTTGATTCTCAGTGTGTCAGTATTGTGTTTTAACGATGTGGTAGATGGAAAAATACCTCACAAAGATAAGTGGGTCCAAATAAAAGAGGAAAATTTCTAGCTGTACTTAATAAATCATACTCGTTTTAAAAGGCTTTCCAACTACCCTTTGCATGTTTTAATTAAAATTTCCATTTCCTTCTGTCCCATTTCCTATTGTACTTGCAAACTATTTGGAATGGGATGCATGTTTATATATATGACAATGAGCTTAAAAAGACTTAAACATTTCATTTGAAAGATTTTTAAACACATTGATATTCTTTCTCCACTTTCACTAGTGAGCAGTTAAGAGTTTTTATAGATGCACTAACATTTTTTGGGCCACAAAAATTGCATCCAAATGGAAATATTTCCAAATATACTTAAACATGTAATAGTTTTTATTGATTTTGCTTTTTCACTATAAAAACAGTTTTAAGGGATTCAATGGTTTTTGTTTTTTTAATATCTGCTACATAAACATGTCAGAATCACATGTTAAAGAAAAGGTCAGTGAATATCTTCTGCAAAAAATACATAATTTGTCTTTAAATTGGCAGTACATTTCTTACAATTGTTGAACCTGTTGTTTTTTTTTTTGAGTTGGAGTCTCACTCTTGTTGCCCAGGCTGGAGTGCAGTGGCATGCTCACGGCCACTGCAGCCTCGACCTGCTGGGCTTAGGCGATCCTTCCGCCTCAGCCTTCCAAGTAGCTGGAACTACAGACACACACCACCATACCTGGCTATAAACCTTTATTATTAACTAAAACCCATTGTTTACATTAGGGGTCACGCTTGGTGTTGTATGTTCTCTGGGTTTTGACAGACATATAAGGTCATGTATCTACCATTTATGGCATTAAACAGGAGAGTTTTACTGCCCTAAATGTCTCCTGGCTCTACCAATTCAGCCAGTGGTAACCACTTCAAGCTAATTGCTGTCCCTTTTTTTTTTTTTTTGAGTTGGAGTCTCACTCTGTCGCCCAGACTGGAGTGCAGTGGCCGCTCCCGGCCACCGCAGCCTCAGCCTGCTGGGCTCTGGAGATTCTTCCACCTCAGCCTTTCAAGTAGCTGGAACTACAGGCGCGTGCTATTACACCTGGCTAATTTTTTATTTATTTTAGAGATGAGGTCTCACCAAGTTGCCCAGGCGAGTCTTGAACCGGCGGACTTAGGCAATCCACTCACCTCAGTCTCCCAAAGCACGGGATTACAGGCTGAGCCACCGAGCCTGGCTGCTGTTCCTTTTAATATATACTCCCCATCACTTTTGGGGCACCTCTTCACTTTCTAGCACAAGATGTTCCTGGCTCATCTTATGCTTTTCTTGTCCAACCCTAAAATCAGCCATTTCTCCAAGGAGCTCTGGTTTCCTTTAGTGGGGAATGGTATTTAGAAATCAAGATCTAGGCACTAAAACATTTTGTTTTAACTTAAGAAAGTAAATTACTATTGAGTGTGTATTTTGTCTTTCCCTTTGTGGATGGCATTGAAAAAGCAGTTCCTTGTGTATTTCACTTTTGAAAAGGATGTGTTAGAAACATTTGTGCTTTGGGACATGTGTTATATCCGAATAAGCAAGAAGAAGCTACGATTATTTATGAATTTATTAAATGCGCGGGTCAAGAGTAAGGCAAATACCAGAAAAACTCTTGGCAAATTGATGCAGTTTGTGACAAGCTTTTATAGGTAAAATTTGCAGTATTGGCTACATAGCAACTGAGTGACCATAGCAACTATTAACTAACAACTTGGCAACCAAAATGGGAACTTTGATTGTTAGGGAGCTTTGATTAATTTCATGTCCTAGGTATAGCCAGTGCTCAGAAAGTCCCTGGAGTTCTGCCATTAAGATATAGTTTAAGGTAGTTACATAGAGACAGGGAAGAAGAATCATTATATAATGGACTTACCTTGGTTAAGTCATTAACAGAATATAAGAACAAACTATGAAAATGTCAAAGCATAACATTTGATTTTAGTTAACAAAGCATACAATCACATGGAACTTATGACGAAGGAGTTCTGTAACGGTCAGCAGGCAACGATCAGCATAACCTGCCCAAAGGAGACAAAGCTGGGGGTCTGTGGTCACGGGAATGTTACTGTAATCACATGTAGGCATTGATTCTTAGGTCAGGCAGGTAACTAAGATGAACGTTTTAAACAAAATGGAGTAAGCTGGTTAATATTATTTTGCTAGCAATTTGATTTTATTAACTGATTTAGCTCATTTGATATGTTGCCATAACTATGGCAAACTTCCCACACTGTGAAATTTAACTCTTGCTTCTTCAAATCTTCAGCCATATTTCCAATAGATCTTATGCTAGTATTGCTAAGGAATGTGTTTTCATTTGTCATCTCATTGTGGCAAGAAGAACAAGTGGCATGTGACTTTTGGTCTTTTGCTATTAAGTACAGTACCTCAAAAGCAGTTTCCAAGCATTGTCACCAATTGTGAAATTTTGTAAAGAACCAGAATGAATATCACATGACTCTGAACATTCTTAGAATGAAATTGTAGAGTCTTGCTCTTTTGGAAAATGTCTTTTTAATGTGATGACTTCTTACTGTGAAGTGTGTACTTCAAGGCTGAATGACTAATGACAATGGATGTGAATACATTTCACAAATAATCTTTGTGATTAAAAAAGCAGACTTCTTGAAGGGTCTGAGCAGATTGTTGATTTTTAAAATTTTTTATTTTTAAAGATGTTGGGTACATTTCAGGGTTAAGTACACAAATGTTCATTATGCAGGTACCCTTGTTGATGAGGTGTGCCCCTCCCCAAGAATCCTACTATTGCCAATCTTGCCCCGCCCCCAGCAATTTCCTACTACTGACCATCCTTTTTTTTTTTTGAGTTGGTGTCTCACTCTGTCACCCAGGCTGGAGTGCAATGGCACACTCATGCAGTGGCACACTCAACACCAACATTGATCTGCTGGGCTCTGGCGATTCTTCCGCCTTAGCCTTTCAAGTAGCTGGAACTACAGGCACCCACTACCATGCCCGGCTAATATTTTAAAATTTATTGTAGAGACAAGGTCTTGCCAAGTTGTCTGAGCTGGTCTCGAACCCGTGCGGTCAGGCAATCCACTCGCCTCGGCCTCCCAAAGTGCTGGGATTACAGGCTGAGCCACCAAGCCTGGCTGATAATTCTTTTCTTATAGTATTACAATAATTGTTTAAGGTCCACTTATGAGTGAGAACATGTGATACTCAGTTCTTTGTTTCTGTGATAGATCATTCAATATTATAGACTCTAAGTCCATCCAAGTTACCGTGAAGTTCATAATTTTGTCCTTCTTTATGGCTGCATAATATTCCATCGTGTATATGTACCACATTTTAAAATCCAGTCCTCTTTCGATGGACAGGCTGGTTGGTTCCATGTTTTTGCTATTGTGAGCAATGCTGCAATAAACATGTGTGTGCAGATAACTTTTTCACACAGTGATTTGTTTTCCTCTGTCATGTGTTTATACTAGCCATAGGGCATGGGTCAGTTCTGCTGTACTTATTTACTTGTGTATTAATAGTATTATCTTTAATTTCCAATTTAATTGCAAGAATCTTGTTACAACATTTTTTTTTAGCATTAGTTTAGCTAAAACTAGCTAATATAATCTGTAAACACACATCAAGCCAAGTAAATGGCTTAGGCATAGTCACCAACTCCAAAAGTATACAAGTGGAAGCATCACTTCATGTTTCCACTTCCCGTTTTCACTCTGCTCTCAGGTGTGTCACATCACATGTGATACTCTAACATTTGGACCGGGTAAAGGTGCTAGTGCTAGGC